AAGGTATTATCTGTATATTATCTGGTAGTTTTCGGCCTCGACGTGATTTTTTATAGTTACCCCATTTTAGTTGTTTATATATGAAGGTATTATCTGTGTATTATCTGGTAGTTTTCGGCCTCGACGTGATTTTTTATAGTTACCCCATTGGTGTTTCTTCTGATATTATTCCATAGTTGGTGCTTGGCATTGAAATCAACTCCTATTAAATAATATTTAATGTTATTTTTATTGGTTAGTTCGTCTGTTGTTGTTATTTTATTGCCTGATGGGGAGTATGCTGCCTCGATGGTTAATGTGGGTGTGGTTTTGATAGTGACGGTTTTGCTGGAATTAGTTTTTAGTTGCTTGGTGTGTTCTACGGGAATTCTATTGTGTATGGCTATTAGAACTCCTCCTCTAGGAGTCGTTCCGTGTTTATATATTCTGTATTTCTGAATATTTGATATTCAGGGATGCGTAGCATATTTCCTGGGGTTAACCAGATATCTATTATTAATGCAATATCTATGGAGGTGGTCTTCTAGGAATTTTTGGAGATCTTGTTTCTTGTTTTGGATGCTAGTAGCATTCCATAGCACATTGATTTGATGTTTAAGGGTCAGCTTCCAGCTCTTTTACAATCTGTATGGTTGCTTTGACTCGGTCTAAGTTGTTCGTGCATTTCATATAATGCTTTTGTATCAGCTCAATTATCCTTAAGAATAAATCGAGATCTAATGATTTAATTTCAGCTAGAATCTCTTTTTGTGCTCTCATTGTTCCCTGGTGCCGAGTCTCTTGAGAAAGGTGCTTGTTTTACAATTATATTAGCATAAGATGCCTGCGATATGATTAGAGCATGAGTTTGGGATGCGTTTGTGTGCGTGCTTGTTGTATAATATGGATGTTTTCTTAAAGTGGGAAAAGCTTGTGGGGATGAGAAGTATTGGCGTTGGGTGTTAGGCTGTATCTGGTTTTTATGTGCATCTCTCTTGGCGAGGAATGCTCGAGGGTCTTAATCGCACTTTCTTGAATCGTGAGGTTCCGCGCATTTAACGCACATTCTTTGACGCTTTCTTATTACAATTTGTGGATAAGTGTCCGTGTGTCTGATAGCGGTAACATTGTATGGTTGGTTTTTTGGATTCGAACATTTCCCAGTATACTTTCAATAAATCTTATCTGGCTGACTTTCGCTAGGGTCATTCCTGGTGCGAAGGTTACTCGATATATGGGATATTTAGTATGGATAGGTATTTCAAAGGTGCAGTTTAGAGGAGTTAGTTCCTAACTCTATGTTGTTTCGGGTAGCTTTATTTTAGCTCCCTTTAGGACTACCGATAGGATTTTCTCAGTGCTGATTGTGTATGTTTTCTTTGCGACATTATGTATGTGCTCTTTGAATTGGTTGAAATCAATTATATTTTGAAACATAACTTTTAATTTTTCTGAAGTGTATTTGGCGTAAAATCTATTGTTGTTTTTTTGTTTTAGGACTTCGAGTAGCCTCTGGTAATTTATCTTACCATGTATATATATTGGGGATGGTTTAATTTTGCTTTGGCCAGCGGAGATGCTAAGTGTGTTTATGTCTCTACGTCTTTATTATTTACTTCGTCTGTGTCGTTCAGTAGACATTCTGCAAAAATGCCAAATCTATTTTGTGTTGTGACAGTAGGTATGTAAGCTTCCATACCTGCTGTGATATGACGCTGTCAGCCTTGATTGAGGAAAGAAGACCTTTTCTTCGTTATTATTAATTTTAGTTTCTTTTTCTGTAGCTCTTTTTTTTTAGATATAGCCATGAGACGACAGCCGTCGTGTCCGTTTTCTTTTCTTGTGTTGGTGGAATGTTTATCGATTGTGTGGTGACGTAGATTCTACTCTGCTCACTGCCGTCAATGTTACGTATCGACTATCGTATAACTAAGCACATATCTGACTCTCTGGACTCACTCACTGCTCTGCTTTCTAAACGATAATTGCTGTTTCGAGATTTTTTTTTTCCTTAGGTATTGTTGCTACAGTACCTGGGGCGCAGAGTCCTGTATTGAACATGAAGGATTCTAGATTAAAGTGATCTTGAAAGAATTTTATGTAGTGCGAAGTATAAATGGGAATTGCAGGATACAAGTTTCAAAAGACCTGCTGAACTTGTGTGTGATCTTGAATGTATGATATTTGATATTATGTATGAGTTGAGGCGTGTTTCGATAACCTGGTCCTGATTTTTAGTAGGATGCAGGAAACGTTGTAATTGCCTGTGTATAAGTGAGTTGCGATTCGGGTAATATGTGGTGAATTTTTAATAAATTCTTCTATGGTTGGTATTTTGGCGATGTAGCTGTTTGATTGGAGTGTCGTAGGATTTTTTATATATCATTCTTAGGAATTTGTTTTGGATTTTTTGAATTTTATTCGTGTGTGATTTGGCTGCGGATGCCCAGATTTAATGTCCATAGGTAATAATGGGTCTAATGCAGGTTCTATATAGTTTGAGTTTATTTAATGTGAGTCTTAAGTCTGCTATTTTTTGAAATGAGTGGATAAATTCTATAAAGTGCTGGATATGCTAATTGCGATCTTTTATGTATTGCGGGTGTCTACATGATTTTAGAGTCTAAGATGACTCCCAAGTATTTGAGTGTAGAGGTCCATGTAATATTTTGACCGGCGATTTTGATAGATTTTAGGTTTATGTTTTTCTTGGTGGTGAGAGTCCTTCGATTTTTTCCTTCTCAGTATAGTGATAGCTATTGTGTGTTTTGTCATGCAAGACAGGGATTTTGGTTTTGACACCTCCAGTAATTCGATAGGTTTCCCAGAGTGTAGGATCGATGTTCTTAATATTTGCTAGTTTCTGCTGCCACGTATTGCTTTTCGCGTAGAGTATTCTTTTTTGTATGTTGATAGTAAGAATGTTTCTACGGAGTTTGTAAAGCGGATTGCCGGTCCTTTGGTATTTTCTTTTCATTCTATTTCTGTCTTTGATTATTTGTGAAAGCAGCCAATCTGTGCTGAAGTTTACGTAGTGGACAGATATTACTTGTGTGGTATTTCGGAATGCTTTTTGGATGTGGTGCGTGAGGATTTGGACTTTAGAATCGACCTCATATTTGTTGGTTACGTAAGGATTTATGTTAATTTTGTTACAAAGTTTTGCATAAGCGGTCCAATCGGTGCGTTCTGTCATTGCCGATCTTCTTTCCGTCTTGATCACGTATAAAGATAATTATACAATGAGATAGTTGGAAGGTAGGTCATCGATAGTTTGGCATTTATATAGATATGGTACTGTTCAAATGCGGATTCGCGATTGTGAAGGTTGTCTCCGGTCGGTCCGCTTTCCTTACGAACAGTTATGTTG